CTTCAACATGACACGGGGAAACATTTGTTCTTTAACAGTTCACTTTAGAAACTTATCACACTGTATGTGTTTTAATGTAAAGTTTAATCTGCAGAAGAGTAACTAGCCACTAGAGTGTTTTTTGTTAGTCATGTAATTAACATTAATTAACTTGCTTATTAATTGGCTTAATGTCAAACATGAGTTATAAGACTTTAAAGTGACTGTGTGTGTAGCCAATAGGAGGCGATGCATGCTTCTGTGTGAGTGTTGAGTTTCTTACTGTTGAGCGAGATGAACCACTCCGTCTCATACGTCCGGTTGATGGCTCGGACGACTTGGGTTCTCTGGCTGTTGATCAACCACATGTACAGTCTGGAGAGCCAGCTCATCTTTGGAGTCTCCTCCTCCTGCTTTTGTCTTTCTCCACTTTCTCTCTCCTCCTCCCTCTTCTGTTGCTCTTTCTGTTGCCTCTCTCGGATTTCTCTCTTCTCCTTATGGAGACGTTCTCTCTCCTTCTTTGCCTGCTTTTCTATCTCCTTTCTCTCCTTTTCCTCCTTCTTCATTTGCTCCCTCTCCTCCTTCCCCATACTTTTAAATTCCTTCTTCTGTCTCTCTTTCTCCTCTTTCTTTTGCCTTTTCCTCTCCCTTATGCCCATCTTCTCCATTTCTTTCCTCTCCTTCTTGCGACGCCTTCTCTCCTTCTTTGCCTGCTTTGCTCTCTCCTTTCTCTCCTTCCTCTGCCTCTCCATTTCCTTCCTCTCCTCCTTATCTTGTCTCTTTCTTTCCTTCTTCAACATCTTCTGTCTCTCCTTCTCCTCCTTCTCCTGTCTCTCTCTTTCCTCCTTCTCTTCCTTCTGTCTCTCCTTCTCCTCTTTCTCCTTTCTCTTTCTCTCCTCCTTCTCTTCCTTCTGTCTGTCCTTCTCCTCTTTCTCCTTCCTCTTTCTCTCCTCCTTCTTTTCCTTCTGTCTCTCTTTATCCTCCTTCTTTTGCATCTTTCTCTCCTCCTTCTCTCTCTCCTCCATCTCCTCTCTCGTCTCCCAGGCAACAACAGGCTGATCATATTTGCCAGATGTTACCTCGGCCCTTGGTCTGGTGGGACCTTTGTCGATGTTCGGACGGGATGAAGGGCCATCGTCATCCTCACAGGTGTAAAGATCGGACAGAAACAAAGGGCTCTCACCCCTTTGTTCAGTCTTATGTTGGGAAGCCGAAGGGCCGGGATCCTGCCAGGTGGAATCACGCGGGGTATTGGCATCGTCTGCCAGATACCCAGATCTCGCAGCTCTTCGGTTGCACTTCCTTCTTTTTAAGGAGGAGCACAAATCTCCAAGAGACCAGGGTCTCGAAAATGATGGTTGTACAGAACAGGACATTGTAGTACTCTCACTAACCGACGACGAAAAACTGCAGACACAAACACACACAACACAAACATGCTCAGCAGGTTCTTTAACTAAACTCTTACTCAACCAAAGTGAACTGAGAAGCATTTCTCCCATCAATACTTGACATGACTCTGTACATGATAAACAAACATGTAAAAGCTGCTGCAAAAGATGTCACTTAAAAAAAAACTTGTACTGCTGCCAAATGTTGTTACAGTAATAATACTAATAATACTCATAATTATAATTATAATAATAATAAAACCACTATTGGTGTTAATAATCTCACAATTAGTTCAAGATTTTTCAGCAACATGAATGATATTTTTTTCATCAGCAAACAATATGCAGGAAAAACAAAAAATTTAAATTAGAAAAAAGAATAAAGGAATCATACTTAGTCAAATAAACATTAAATAATCTCTGTGTTTTGTTTTATTTTATGTAAGAGAAACTGCACAGTGTCACAAGTGAAAGGACTAGAAACCGTTCAGTCGATGTGAATTTTGCTCTTGTGCAAAAAAAAAACGGACTAAATTCAGTCCAGTTTGAACAAATGCAACTGGGGCCACAATTAAAGCAAATGTTTGCAATGTAACTAATGAATTAAGTCATTTACTCAACTGATAAACACATGGAAAGTAAACATACTTATTCTTCAGCATGATACAGTTCTATTAAACAGATAAATTCAAGTTAAAACAGAAACATTTGGTCCCAGCTGAATAATGGTCTTACCTCTCTAATGGTTGATGTGGGAATGAGGCCAGGACTGTGTGCACCTGTAGATCTGCACTTGTTCCATTGTGATGTCACAGGCGGCAGAACAGCGGCGCGTTCTAGTTCTGCTGTTCTGTTCTCCTGCAGCGTTCCACGGGTGACACACATTCCTCTGTACAAAGGTCACGTGTTCGGCCCTCACAGAAGCTGATTGACTGTGATTTCATCCTGCTAGAAGAACAACATGGACAACAGTAAAAAAAAAAAAAAAACCCAAAAAAACACCCTGAGTTAATCAGTCTAATTAGCCAATCACAGTCAGTTGTGTGAAAGTTTGGGCAGCAACTGCACTTGTGTGCGTCTGTCAATGTGCATTTGTGCATGGTGTTAGAAACTGCCAAAGCTTAACCTTTCCATTTTTTCAAATATTGATCAGTAAAGCTTCAAACAAAAGTACTTCACTAGTCCTCCAACAATTGATCTACAGCATTGCCCACAGGAACCTAAAGCACCCAGGCATTAAAGGAATATTTACCACACTCTAATCAGTATGCAAAATCTATTACAGTTAATAATATATATTTATTCATAATATAAGTACTGTCATATTGCCCATATTAATCATATTTGGAACTGATTGCAACACCCTCACACAGTGGCCTCCACTCTCATTTATTCTCCATTTGTATGTGGGTCAGTGTGTAAAAGTAGGTAGCTGATGGAGAGCAGTTACAGTTGCAACGGTCTACAGAAACTTCGTTTTCCCCATTCAGCAAAAAATGTTGCAAAGTTTCTAAAAATATCGTAATAAGGTTAATACGATTCAAAATCTTCCACTGATTTTACTGGTACCCTCGCAGGTTATTCAGACTGAGTTTGAAGGAACATCAGACTGTTGGAGATGAAACTCTAAAGTTAACAAGGGGACAATATGCAATGACATTGATCATTTACAAGAAATGAAAAGATGGTTGCAGATTTAGCGAAATGCTAATTGTAGTCCTACATTTAACAAACAGACACACCACGAAAAATTACAGAATACAGAAAATACAGGGACCCAGTATATTGAAAGACAATGAGAGGACACTAGACAGCACAAAATACAGTATGAGGACACAATAACCACATTTTTAAAATAAATAACACAATAAGAACAGTAAGACACTCAGTGCATATTTCAAAGTGCAATATGAGTCAATAGCTACACTTAAAGGACTTAAAGGTGGGGGACTTATACCGTACACTGTGGTCATGCTTGAAGGTACAGTCCTTTGGGACCAAAGTCCATGAGGGTATCACAGACACTTTGTCTTTAGTGTGCACAGCTCTTGTTTATATATTTATATATTTATATGGACACTTTTAAAATTGATCTAACATGTCATGTTAATAGTTTTATTTTAGTTTACATTTGTTTAATGTTTATGTTGTTATTATCATTAGTTTTTAAATATCCTTTAGCATTAGTTAATTTTTTACCTCTTTTATTTCATTTTTTTTTCTTTCTTCTGTCTGTGGATTGTGTTATTGGTTTTATTATTATATGGTTTTGTGTTGAAAATTTGAAATTCAATTAACTTTAAGTCACAAAAATGGATGAATGCTGGGAGCAAATTTTCAGAAGTATAGATCCATCTCAGTTTTGTTGTTAACACTTTATAATGCATCCCACATTTTTGTTTGTAATTTTGTTGTATGAACCAGGTGCTAATGAAACATTTACTGATTCCTTGTGCTGGAAGAAAACATGACTATGGGGAACGAGGGAGTAACAACCGGGCATCGATATAGCAGCTCTTGTCATGTGGACACCAGATTTTCTGTTGAGGCACACTTACCTAATAACTGTCCCCTATAACTATGTCACTGTAATCCATAAGTGTCCACGTTATTCAGAGATTTGTAATGCTTTTCTTTGAGTTTCCAACCCCAAAACTACACTGTTCTCCTCCAGTTTGGTGAGTAAAACTGTCTATTGCTATAGCTGTCTAAAACTGTAGATTTTTATATCATAACTGTGTGTAATACTATATAGGATCAGCACAATCTTAAGACCATTTTCCCCAAACATATTTACAAAGATGCTTAATGTACAATGCTCCTCCCCTCTAAAATTCCCAATAGTTACTCCCTTTTTCATCACAGTCTTGTTTGCTTCCACTGTACTTTCATTAAATTACCAGAGGGAGTATTGTCATTTTTTTACGTGATTCATTCAGTTAATTCTGATTCAACAAAGTTTTAGTTCACAATTCATGAAGCCACAGTCTTCAGTGTTGCCTTTATGTTTATATATATATATATATATATATATACATATATATATATATTAAAAAAAAAATGGGAACAGTTTGACACTGAAGTAATCTGAGAAGACATGCATGAACTGAGCTACAAAAAAAAAAAAATCTTAAAAGAGTAAGGCTGTACTTCTCCCAGAAATGTAGTTTTCATACAGCAAGCACTAGGTGCCGCTACAAGACTGTGATGCTGATGACACAGCAGTCAGCTATAGCTTCCCATTATTTTGCTGCTGTGCTATCTGTGCTGTGCCAAAGCAGCGTGCCAACGAGACATCCCCGGCTCTCATGAATAATACAAGCAAGATGGACTTGGCTCCCCATCACTGTAGTGAAGCCCCTGATCTGTCACAGTCACCTGGATATGACATACTTGTGCTATGGGGAATAAATGCTTGGTTTGTCTAGTCACACACACACACACACACACACACACACACACACACACACACACACACACACACACACACACACACACACACACACACACACACACACAGTGAGATTCATGCCATTCCTCCTGTCACCAGAGGATGGCTCTGTCTTTCTTTTAACCTGCCAGGGGGAGGTTTGTTGTTGGTTTAAGTTTCCTTTTCCACAAAATCGACAATTAGGTTCAGTGTTACATGTGACCATGTGCTTGTTGTGCTATTAAAGAAGCTCTCCACCTGCCAACACATACAGCTGAAGAGACACAGCTGAAGGTAGGTCAAACATATTTAAATGTAAGAAGAATGGGGAGAAAGCTTTGTCTACATTGCTTAATTATATCACCATTTATATACAATTTCCTCTTTGAGCCTCGTGTTTTCACTGTTACCTGCTTTGATAGATGTTCTTTAAATGTTTTTTGTGAAGGTTTTGACAGAGATTCCAGTTAAAAAGATGTTGCGAGGAAGAGCTTGGATCCTGGATTGCATCCTGCTTGTGCTGGTCACATTATGTGATCAAGGAGTTCACTGCCAAGATAAACACAAAGGTATGTGATATAAAAGGAATCAATGTTGCATGTTTGTCATGAGAGAAGAATAAAATATATGGAGCCCTTATATGACAGTATTTAGGAAATTGTTATCAGAAATGTAGAAAATATAACTGATTTCATCTATGATCAGTTGATAAAATAAATAAATAGATAAGATTGTGTTTCCCTCTATTGTTAACTTTCACAATCTCATTTTACTTTATTGTATGTCCTTATTCGTGGCTTGGTAGCCTATATAGTTTAACTTAATAAACTGGTGCCTAGACACTCTCAGTTAGCTATATGTGACTGGACCTAACTATCGTCATAAAACTACACGAGCCAGTGCAGGTAATTGTCTCAGAATAGAGAAGGTAAAACCCAGGAGCACACTTTTTTTTTTTTCCATAAAGACTGATGAACGAAAAGCTGAAGGAGAGATTGCAGAGTTACTGAAGCTCGTGGAACAGAGGCTATCCCCGACGACATAGAAAAATATTCTGGCAAATATTTGGGCCAAATATTGTGTTCCTTCTGGCTCAGTATATGTCTGGCTTGGCCCAAGTCTGGCCTACAAACAGTGTGACTGTCAGATGCTACTTCCACATCTTGACCAATTCTGGAACAAACTGAAAATCTTCCTGGCTGTCAACACTGGAGAATAATAAGCCTAGATGTGAAAGTATTTGGGCCAGACTTAGGCCGACCATCCAGGCATGTTGGGCCAGAAGTTTCATTTTGTTATGTGGGACGTGATGTCATGACTTTGGCTCTCTATCTCACAACAATAGCCAAAGCATTTTTGCTGGCATGCTAACACTTACAAAGTTAGCTAGCTAGCTAATGCTACTTAGGTAGCATCACCTTTATTTCAAGTGCATGTTGTGTTTTGATCAAAGACCACAACGGGAATAACTTTATTGGGCCATAGATGTATGTGATTTAATCTCTCTTTCCTCATTGGGTCAAACAAACTAAACTAAAAACTTTTCAGTAATGCTAGTAACCTTTGTTAGCCTTTGCTAAGCCAAGCTAACATTCTGTAACTGTTGTGAATTTATAGAGTGAGACTTCAGTATGCCAACCAGTGAATGACAATACACAGTTACATCTGCATCCATCCACACACTCATTATTTTTCAAATCAAAACAGTCAAGTGTAATTTTATCAATAACAAACAAACAAACACTTCCTGAAATGGGCTGTTGGAAATTTTGACACCAGTGTTTCATTTATTGTTGATAGATTCTACACATCTGGAAGACCTGAGACTCGTTCTGGTTGGAAAAACTGGATCAGGAAAGAGTTCTTCTGGAAACACCATCCTTGGGCAAAGTGCCTTTAAGGAGGAAATGTCTCCTGAGTCTGTGACTCAAGAATGTCAAATAGGGAAGGTAAAAGATGGTGACGGTAACATTGTTGTCATCGACTCCCCGGGGCTGTTTGACACGAAGAAAACAACAGAAGAAGTGAAAGCAGATATTGAGGCGTGTGTTAATCACTCAGTTCCTGGACCCCATGCTTTTCTGTTAGTGATCAGTCTGAAGTCAAGATTCACAAAGGAGGAGAAGGCATCTGTGAAGTGGATCCAGGATAATTTTGGCCCAGATGCAGACAGATATACCATAGTCCTGTTTACACATGCTGACTTGCTGGAGGATAAATCTTTGAAGAAGTATGTAGCAGAAAGCGAACATCTACAAACACTGATAAACCAGTGTGGAGGAAGATACCATTCACTGATCAATGACCAGAGACCAAACAGAACGCAGGTCAGAAAACTTTTAGAGAAGATAGAAGAAATGGTGGTGTTCAATGGAGGAAGTCACTACACCAATGAGATGTACCAGAAAGCCCAGAAGAAACTTGAGGAGGACAGGAGGGAGGAAGAGCGAAGAAGTAGGCAAGAGGAAGAGAGGATCAAAAAGGAGGGAGAAAGGATTGGTCGGTGTAAAATGGCAGGTTTGGCTGCCCTGGGACTTTTTGGCGCAGGAGCGTATCTTTCCTCATATGCTCTTCTGACAGCTGGTGCAGCACTTGGACTCACTGAAGGTTTTAATTGCACTATGAGTATGTTTACTTAATTATCTAGCCTGTGACACAAAAATCAGCAAGAAGCAATACATAATGGCTAAACCTGAAACAAGTCATTTCTGGTTCACAGGAGCCTCTACTACGATGCCTGTTACCTAAATCTTGAGTAAATCATAACTTTCTCTATATATGTATGTATGGGCTAAAAACATTTTTCAATAAAGTCTGAAGCTCAGTTTAGTTCTCCTGGAATTCATTTATGATCATATTTTTATCCATTATTTTATTTCAAATTGAATGTGCTGAGAAGAACAAATGTGTAACTATCCAATACACTCTGAGCTGTAATCCTCATGTGTTAAACACAAAAAGTCACATTTTGACAGTAATATCAGGAAAAAGAAAAAGAACCATATTAGAAACATCTGTGTTTTACAAAGAAAAAAATACAACTGAATCAGTATTAGTAAGGTCAGAAGTTCTAACCTTTGGATATATTTTAGATATTTAATGGAATGAACTGAAATAGAGTATACTCAGTCCAGGCAAATGGATGTCAAAATGCTTTGATTTGAATGGGGGGAGACATCAACAATGGAAGGATGTGATGCACATTAGAGGTTTTCTTGTTTCCTCCATTTTAAACAACCAGGGTTCATTACATGGTTATAGCAAGATTACCTATGTTTATCAGTTAAAGAGCCTGAATGCTGTTCTCATGTTGTGATTGCACTTTTTAAAACATAGCAGCCATGCATACACAGATCTGTACAGCATATTTTGAGAGCTTTGGACAGTCCCTGTGGGGATGCACATTTCAGAAGTAAACTAAAGACAATACAAGGAAATAGGAAGCCCCCTGTGCATAGCCCAGGTTCCAGAAGTTTCCCAGAAAACTAATGTGAAAGTCAAGCCGCAGAGCTTGTCTAAGTTCACCACTCTGGCCTGGAACAGCGCATTTGGCCACCTGGGAACTGGAAAGGATAGATCCAAAGTGATGGCTGAAGGTAAGACAATCTATCTAACCTAATGTTGAAAAATAAAACAGAATTTATTCTTTGATTATTGTAAGATGTAACAAATCCAGGAGTACAAGAGTACAAGAAGGAAACAGAAAAAAATGTAGACCTTGATAATGATGTCAGTGACTAATAATCTATTTTCTTTTGTGTCTCAATGGTATAATTTCATATCACAGCAATACCGCTGCGAGAAAAGAAGCAGAAAACTCTACCTCGGTCTGATGGGTGGGGTCTCAATAACTTTGACGGTATGCTCATTCATTGTCTCTCTCACAGAATCTCAGTAACTAGACATATATATCTGTATACAACTTTCTATTAAGGCCTCTTAAGTTGAGGTAATGGCTTTATTAATGTTTATACATGGTTTATTATTGCTTATAGATCAGTTACAACTTTGCCAGATTGTGAAAAATCTCTTTGGGGTTTATTCTTCTCTAGTATTACTAGCTCTGTCTTGTAGCTACTCTTTAATATGTGGCTTATTTGGCTCAGCAGTGACTGAGGGAAATACACAGTCCTATATTATAACATCTATAACTGCATATCTAATGGCTTATTAGTCATGTAATTGTTTAGTAGTTTTTTTACTTTATAATTAGAGAAGTGTAGTTTTCTCTTTACTTTATTTTTACAGTAGAAATAAGAGTCTCATTTTTACAATGTGTAGTTTTCAGACACTTATTTTTACAATAAATATAAAAGTCTGCAGTTGTAAATGTCAGTAAATGGTTTATAAACAGATTTTGGGTCCAGCTGCTCTTTCTCAGATAGTAATTGGTTGCAGGCTCTCCCTGAGAAAATCTCACCAACACACAATGTGTGTATTCTTGAGGTCCAGCAGACACGATGAATTTATTAGATCATGTATGAAACACTTTCAAATCTGATCTTTTTAAAATATATTTTAATAATCATAGACAGATTGGAATTGGATCCCAGACTTCAAAATGGTGCCCATTCATTTGAATGAAAATTGCTCGCTCAGCGCACAAGCCAAAGCAGTTCTGGTGTTTCTAGGTTTGCTTCCTTGTTGTGTGGTCCATTGCACATGTCCATCAGTGTGTCCCCCACTGACCCGGCCCACAGGGTCCCCCTTGGTACATAGACTTTACTTTGTGATGACATCACAAACATGAAAATACCTCCTCTAAGCTTTAGGAAACTTAACAAATGTAAAAAAAAAAAAAACATTTTAGAAGTTCATAATAGAAAAAGTAATTGTTTACTGTTTGAGGTGTCTTGTAAACATTTTTACTGACACATCTTTTATAATGTTTTCTGGCCCTGAGTGGACTTATTAAGTTACCCCTTATTAAAGTACCACAGTTGGCCACATGATGCGTATTGGTAGTAATGCTGCATTCACAGAGTCAGCAGAATGGGGAGAGCAGGAAAGACACCCATTAATCAACTGAGTGTTGATGCATTATTATTATTATATGCATTATTCCAAGCTGGTTAGCCTTGTAGTCAAATCAGATAAAAATCCTAAATTTGCTTATTTTTTGTGTATTTGTAGTTTGTTACCAAGTGAAACGTGTCAAGCTCCGATAAAATGAGGTGAATCATTTATACTACTGTTAACATTGGATTTTACTTAAATGAAACTGTCAGCTGTGGTGCATTTTCAGCCATTCTGCCAATAGTTTTCTTGACTTGTTCTAATTAGGGTTTAAACTACCTGATATGACATTTGTTAGCTTGTCTTATTCCTTTTTCCTTGCCACAAACAAAATAGAGACCCACTTGTAAAAACATTGCTCCATGGCGCTACTAGTGGTCAAAAGCTCAACAGGGTACCCTTAAAGAGATAGCTAAAACTTAGTGACCCAAGTGGTAGCTATATATGTGGCAAAAACATGGCAAAAACAAATAAATAGATAAATGAATTCACTTTAACTTAACTTAATTTTAAAATTTTGCTCCTGCTGTTACAGCTCTGGATTTGTCTGGAGGCTTGAGGATAGTCCTGGTGGGCAAGACTGGATCAGGGAAGAGTGCAACAGGAAACACCATCCTTGGGAGAGGTGCCTTCAAAGAGGACCCAAGCTCTGCATCTGTGACCAAACACTGTGAGACAGAGAGCGGAGAAGTGGACGGGACTGTAGTCCAGGTGACTGACACTCCAGGTCTGTTTGATACAGGCATCACAGAGGAAGACTTAAAAATAAGAATAGAGGAATGCGTCAAGATGTCGGTGCCCGGCCCTCACGCCTTCCTCCTGGTGATCAGGCTTGGAGTGAGGTTCACAGAGGAGGAAAGAAATGCTGTGAAGTGGATCCAGGATAACTTTGGAGACGATGCCTCCATGTACACTATCATGCTGTTTACCTGCAAAGATCAGGCTAAAGCTGACAATGCTCTGAAGGAATGCAAGGAGCTACGGCGACTCTCAATTACATTTGGGCGCAGATACCACGCCTTCAACAACAATGATGCAGATGACCGTGTACAGGTCACAGAGCTAATCACCATGATCAAGGAAATGGTGCAGGATAACGGGGGGAAACACTACACTAATGAGATGTATGAAAAAGCCCAGAGGAAGCTGAGAGAGGAGGAGGAGCGGAAGAAAAAAGAGGAGGAAGAGAAGAAAGAGGAGGAGAGGAAAATGTGGGACGAAGAGAGGGAGAAGAAGGAGAAAGAGAAAGAAAAGGAGAAAAAGGTTAGAAAGAAGAATATACGTGTGGCTTCGGCTGTTGCTGTTGTGTTGGTGCTTGCTGGCGTGGTTATAGCAGTGGGAGCTAACAACACAGTGGCTCTGGCTCTAGGAGCTCCCCTGCTCGTCCTGGGAGTATTGGGCGGTATAGCTGCCATCTGCATATGGAAGGGCACAAGATGCAAACCTAACAGATCTATTCCGGTATAACTTTGTCTAGTAACAAGGACAAGTTCATCCGTCTGCAGTATGTGACACTGGAATATACAGTAGACGTATTCCAGATACTGTATTAGTATTACACACATTACTGTTTACTGTGTAGAACTAATCAGTGGATGATGTTGTTTTCTGGATTCTGCTGCCAAAGTAATAAAGTTTTGACACAACATTGCAATAACAGAACTATGTGAATTTAATGCTGACAGTAAACAAATGGTATGAAACGCAATACTTGTTTTCTTTTCAATCATTTAATGTTTGGAGTTTATAAAATCCACATCATGAGTTACAGATATTTTTTGGTTTATGAGAAACGGTTTGAGTCTGAATACATTATGTTAGTCATAATGATACAGTATATTGTGCTGATCTCATGAAGTTTGTAAATACATTTTTGCACAGTTTTCATTTTCATAACTTATGCGATTATTTCTAAAATAAAATACTCATACAGATGATTTACTGTTCCTTATTTAAACTATGATGTGCTGTTTGCATCACTTTATAATTAGTAACATTATGAGCTCACTTCCCTATAGAGGAAAAGAGAGACAATGGTAAGCGTCCGCTGATTGATGACATTTAAGTGAGGAAACAGTGGGACCCCTCACTACACTGCCATTACATCACTGCCAGCACATACCAACTACACTCGATTAAGACACAGGCCATAATATGGTGAACTGTTGATGTTTGATATCTATGTTTCAAATGGGTTGACCTTGAAGCAAAACCTGCATCAGCTGGAGCTCTCATTCACGTTTATCAGAAATAATAGAATTTAAGAGTTAGATACTCACATAAAGCAATTAATGCCTTTTATGCCTAAATGTTCAAGTTCAGTGGTTCAGCTTTATTGTCGTTGCACAGTACAGGACTGGAATGAAACAACTGTAGATGTAGCAACACTCACATTACACATAAAAATATATAGATAAATAGGTGAAATGATGTAGCCTCAAGTATTTTGTTAATTTTTTTTTATTGATATTTTTGACAGAATTATTCATCTACCATACAGATTGGTTACAAACTGTCATTTTGTCAAGCAACAAGCAGAACACAATCAAACAAACAAACAAACAGAGATCCATCATCACTGTGTTCGAATACAGTTGGTCCAGATACCACAGGTGTTCAGTCCATCAGCTCCATAGACACCAGTAGATATTATCAAAAGGTGAAATATACATAAACTGTCCATCAAACATATCACTGCTTTTCTAACTGAGAAAGAAATGTGCCCCAAACTTCATTAAAGAGATCTGCTCTCCCACACAGCCTATATGTCACCCGTTCATATGAGGCCATTTTACTCATTGACTGTATCCATTCATTAAAATTGGACATAGAGGAGGATTTCCAGTGGCATAAAATTATTAAACCCGTAAAAACCCAAATAAACACAAAGTGGGAGATTTGTTCAAATGTGTTCTTGAAACCTTATTCAGAAAAAATGCTATCTCTGTCCACATAGTTTCTGCCTTTTCACAGAAGAATAACAAGTTTACAAGAGTGCCCACTTCTTTTCCACATCTCCAGCATGTGTTATTGTCACTTAGTTTTAGTTCTGCCAGTTTGCAGGGGGTCAAATAGCTTCTATTGATTATTAAGTATTAAGTATTAGTTTTGATTTCACCTCCTGTGAATAAGTATGCCAAGTAGCTATAAGGTTTTTCCAACAGTCATCTGAAATGCCTTGGCCTATATCCTTTTCTCAACAAATTTTTTGCCCTGTCAACCATGGGCAATGAGAGCTTCTAATGTGTTCATAAAATTTTGATGCCCCAGTACGCCTATGTCTTCTTTTCAGAAAGTGATCCTGGATTCCAGTAATACAACTGAGGTTAAATGTTTTATCAAAAAGGACACAATGCCTAATTTGTAAGTATTTCCAAAAGTCTGAGGTAGACAGAACCACAACATCAGGGTTTTCAGCCACAAATCATCAGCATGTAAGAAGAGTCTGTGCTCTACCTCACCAGCCCCGACTCCAGTTATATTCATATTAAGCGATGTTTAGCGATGGTTAATGGTTCCAGGAAGAGTGCGAATATAAAAGGTGACAGAGGAGAACCCTGGCAGGTACCATGGCTTAATTTGAAGAAAGATGATATTATGCCATTTGTGAAAACTGTGGCTTGAGGATCTGTGTGCATTAATTTAACCCACTGCCTAAACAGTGGACCAAACCCAAACACGCACATGCACACGGACCCGGAAGCAAACAAAGACAAGGTGGAGTATTTTAATGAATGAAAAGGGTGGGCGAAGCTTAGGTTAGACGCAGGTGTGGAGTGGAGACAGCAGCCAGGAGTAAAGAAGCCGCGGACACACACGTACACATACAGACAGAAGAGGAGGAGACACAAGGGAGGACGAGGAAACAAACAGAAACAAACAGTTCAAAGTATCTTTATTGTTCCTCATAGGGAAATTGACATGCACCGAGGCTATACATAAACACACACACAAAGACACACATAGCACCAACACTTATGGACATCAACAGACAGTATGGCATACTGGCCAGAGTAAGAGTATATTCATCAAGGTTAAAGTCAAAGTGCAAAAGTCAAGTACACAGTCAGTGCAAATAAGCAAGCTCTTGACAATAAAATAACATCTGCCATTTAACAACAGGATAGGGTGGGAATAAAGGTTGAACTTGAATTTCTAGTATAACCCGGGCAGCTTGTGTGAGTGTTCTTTCTGTCTTGACTGGGATTTTCATGTAATAAAGACTTTGGCACAACATCTAACAACACTTTTTAATAATGTGTTGTCACATTGATTAATTTCATTCTTACAAATCAAATAGAGAAATTACAATAGTTTATTTTGTACAAAGTAATGTAGTGTACAGCCCCAGACTTGTCATTGTATGTTGGTTAATTCATCAGTAAAAGCAGACACGCTGTGACTAATATATGAATTTACATGAATGAAATTAAGAAGCCTGATAAAAAAAAAAAAAGAATATCGAATAGTAATATGAAAAAGTAAATGAAATTACCTCAAAAGTTTGGTTAAGACATGACTTAGCTGTCCCTTGGTTTAGGTTTCATCCACCTTCCGAGAAATTTAGAAGTTACTGCACCTGTTGCCAGAATTGACCCTATTCTACCCACCAGTGCTGTTTCCTCCACCACTATGGCAAGACCACCTACTGCAGGGTTAACTGCAGCAGCGACTGCTGTTGCTGTCATCAGAACATTACCTACAGTGTTCATGGACTCTGCCCATTCACGCCACTTTTCCTCCTCATTCCACTTTTTCTGCACCTCTTCGTATATGCTGCTGGTGTAATGATTCCCATTTAATTGCACTACCTTGTCTATTTTTTTAAAGAGATCAGCCACCTGAGTGTTATCTGCTGTGCGTGTGTTGTCAAACACAATGTACTCAGCTCGACACTCACTGATGACCTCCTTCAGCTCAGGACTTTTGGATATATATTCCTCAACTGTTTCTTTGAGTGCATCACCCCTGGTGAAAAGCACCATTGTATACTTGGAGGCTTCCTCACCAAAGTTGTCCTTGATCCATTTGACAGCTTTCTTCTCCTCGTCTGTGAACCGTGTATCCAGTCTGATCACTAGCAGGAATATATGGGGTCCTGGGAGAGACAGCATGATACAGTTCTCTATTTCACTTTTCAACTGGAGCTCAGTCATCATTGTGTCAAAGACCCCGGGAGTGTCGATGACGTTCACAGTTCTTTGTCCAATGTTTCCTGTTTCTTTTTTACAGCAAATCGTCACGGATGAGGGAGAATTCTCAGACTCAAACACTTTTCGACCCAGGATGGTGTTTCCTGTTTCACTCTTTCCTGATCCAGTCTTCCCCAGCAGGACAATCCTCAGGTCGCTGACAACTGGAGAGCTGAAGTCTGTGGGCAAAAAGACAGTGAAACTGTTCATTTGAATGGTTGTGGAGCATAAAAAGCCAACACATAAGTAAAGACACTCACCTTCAGTTACTGTTAAACCCATCTTGATGTAGAGAAAAAATACCAGGAAACACAGGCCAAACCTGAATTTGAAACATACAGTCTTCTTGTGCTTTTCTTTATCTTCCAGTTCACAGTACGTCTGTACTTATGTGTGCGAGGTGCTCCTCCCTCTCTTTTCCTCTGTCCACCACAGGAGTTTCACAGAAAATGAAACTAGAACTTTTAGAAAGCTGTTTACATGGGTTTCAAACCATTATCAAAATGGCTTAGGCGGAGACTTCTCACATGCTAAAGCAGGTGACAGTCTGATCTCAGCTTTAGCACACACTCTCAAACGATGAGACACAAGTTGGAAACACAACAATGACATATTAGTATCTTATAACATTGATAGTGCTTAGTAACAAATACATGAGATCAGTTCAAGCTTGTTGACCCAAAAAAAGCTATATTGATTTGGTGCTTTTATTTAAAGGTGCAGGAGGAGGTTATCAGCAACAGACAGAGAAGATGTGGCGGGAGAAGAAGAAGTAAGCCACAAACATGAAACCTAATCTGTTCATAAAATGAAACCAACTGCACGACACTGCTGTCCAGCTGCAGGTGAGGCTGTGTCAGAGTGAGAGAGGACGCTATGTAAAAAATCTGTACACGTTTAACTCGTCAGTCTACATTGCAGCAGTCAAAACGTATTTTGATTCAAAACCCTCTGCTGGCAGCCTCAGATCTGTCAGGCATCCTATCAAGCAGCTATCCCCCAGTACGCCTCCTTTGCTGGTGAGCAAAATGCAAGATACTCTGCAACCAAAGATGACGCATTACAAGCTGTGCCAATGGTAAGAAATGGTACACACTTCCTGTCTCCTGAGTGAGCGTGGTCCTGATTGCTTAGTCATGTCAAAACATAAAACAATACAACACTAGATAAAGTATGGATTTTGCTGCTCGTTTTTACAAGATTATATCAGTCTAAAACGCTGTGTTTTCCCTCCAAAAACAGTTAAATAATAATAACAATAATGGTATTAGTAAGCAAAGAAACATGTTTTCATTTCAGTTTTAACTTTTAATTCACGGTTGCACGGATAGGTCCCTCTAAACTCCTGGGGTTGGAAAGCAACGTCTGCAGCCCTACTGCAGCAGTGAAACCAGACCAGAACGGACAGAGAGAAGAGAGATTTGTGTTGCAACATCTGGTGAGAGTTTGTTGCTGAGACAGGTCTCGAATAAAGTTAATTTTCTCCTGATCTGTTGGTCTGAAAAATGCCATTTTAATGTCAGTGTTTGGAAGATCTGTGGCTTGTGAATGACAGTATGAGCGGTGAAAAATGGTAGACAGGAAATTATTTTATGATGTCACGTCCAACTAAGTTTGAGATAATCTTTAAGCGAGTCTGTGGTTCTGTTTCCTCTTTGCTGCGCCTCTCACTCTGATTATTTGTCTTTAGTGGCCAAATATTTCCCACTGTGGTTACCAGGGTAAACAAACTATGACCAGTATGTTACTCCTCCTTGAATGAAACTATGAGCTATCATGAAGGCATGCTGGCAGTTATAAAAACAACAGGGATTATGGAGAGTGCTATATTCACAAAACCTTACAACTGTTCATATAAAGCGGACCTAGTTTCATAAATGTACTTTTAATGTTGTATGAGTGTTGTTATAAGACATCATAATATATTAATTTCTTATACATACATTATAAATCATTGTGTAGATAAGTTATTGATATTTTTGGCCTTAGTTTTACATTTTGGAAATTACTTTTATTTACCTTCATGCCAAGATCAATCATAATCGTTTTCCCAATCTGTTAGATAAATTCATTATATACAATATGTGAATACACCTATAATTGATGTGGTCAAAATTAAGTTATGGATCCTTAACAGCAATCAAGTACGAGACCTTTCACTTGACACTGATGACTGATAACTGTGGTATCATGTTAACTGAAATTTCTCTCTGTATTGTTTTTCAGCTTACACTGTCCCACATGCAGCATCACTAACAGTGGTTCTGTCAGTGCAGCTTATGAATTCAGCCTGACTGGGTTTATCTCAAACAGGCAACAGTGTGGAGCCCTAGCAGCTTTTTGTGGGAATCCTTGCTTTCATAATTGGGATTTTGACATAACATCAAACTACACGTTTTGAAAATGTTGTCACATTGTTTTATTTAATTCTTACATATCAATCCAAAAAAAAACTCCAATAGTGTTTTACACTTAAAGTGATATTCAGGTTAAGAGAGTAGAGCATCAACATTTAAAAGATTTGTCACCATAGGTTCATTTATCATTCAAAGCAGGCACGCTGTGACTAATTCGTATGAATGCACAGTCATGCAATGAAGAAATGCACTTAAATCAACATGACAAAAAAGTCAAATATGAATTTGTACTGTAGTCATGTATTTGTACTCAAAGGCGATAAATGGAATGACATCAGACATTTAGTCAAAGGAAAATGGCTTGACATGATTTAGTTATCCTTTGTTTTCGGTTTGATCCACCCACCAATGACTTTAGCAGCCCCTGCACCTGCAAGCATGAAAGCTGAACGTAGTGAAGCAGCTGCTGCTTCCTCTGCTGCTACAGCGACACCAGCTACAGGGGCAGCTGCAACTGCTGCTGCCACAAACAAATAATTACTTGCAGCGTTCACAGTGTCTCCACACTTGCTCCACCATTCATTCCACTTCCTCTTTTTCTGCACCTCTTCGTATATGCTGCTGGTGTAATGATTCCCATTTAATTGCACTATCTTGTCTATGTTCTCAAAGAGATCAGCCACCTGAGTGCGATCTCCCATGCATGTGTTGTCAAACAATATGCTGCTGGTGTAATGATTCCCATTTAATTGCACTATCTTGTCTATGTTCTCAAAGAGATCAGCCACCTGAGTGCGATCTCCCATGCATGTGTTGTCAAACACAATGTACCCAGCTCGACACTCACTGACGACCTCCCTGAGTTCAGGGCTTTGGGCTAAATATTCCTCAACTGGTTTTCCTTTGAGTGCATCACCCCTGGTGAAAAGCACCATTGTATACTTGGAGGCTTCCTCACCAAAGTTGTCCTTGATCCATTTGACAGCTTTCTTCTCCTCGTCTGTGAACCGTGTATCCAGTCTGATCACTAGCAGGAATATATGGGGTCCTGGGAGAGACAGCATGATACAGTTCTCTATTTCACTTTTCAACTGGAGCTCTGTCATTGATGTGTCAAAGACCCCGGGAGTGTCGATGACGCTCACAGTTCTTTGATCAAAGTGTCCTGTTTCTTTTTTGCAGCGAATCGTCACAGATGACAGAGAGATGTCCTTTGTCTCAAACACTTTTTGACCCAGGATGGTGTTTCCTGTTTCACTCTTTCCTGATCCAGTCTTCCCCAGCAGGACAATCCTCAGGTCGCTGACAACTGGAGAGCTGAAGTCTGTGGGCAAAAAGACAGTGAAACTGTTCATTTGAATTCTTGGGTTGTGGGACAGCTCACAAAAGGAGCATAAAAAGCCAACACAAAAGTAAAGACACTCACCTTCAATTATTCTTAAACCCATCTTGATGTAGAGAAAAAATACCAGGAAACACAGCTCAAACCTGAATTTGAAACATACAGTCTTCTTGTGCTTTTCTTTATCTTCCAGGTCACAGTACGTCTGTACTTGTGTGTGCTTGGTACCTCTCCCTCTCTTTTCCTCTGTCCGCTACAGGAATTTCCAGGGAAATGAAACTCTCTCCCTCTCTCTCTTCACCACAGCAGTTTCCAGAGAAATGAAACTCTCTCCCTCTCTCATTTCACCACAGCAGTTTCCCAGAAAAAAAGAAACTAGAACTTTTAGAAAGCTGTTTACATGGGTTTCAAACCATTATCAAAATGGCTTAGGTGGAGACTTCTCACATGCTAAAGCAGGTGACACTCTAATCTCAGCTTTAGCACACACTCTCAAATGAGACTTGGCATCATAAGCCATTTGCATAGATTTTTTTGTCAACTGAAACCGAACAGCATGAATTGAGCAGGGAGGGGACACAAATTGAAAACACAATACTGACATATTCGTACCTTTTAAACCTGATGTGGTTAACACTAAGGAGTGCTTAGTAACAAATACATGAGATCAGTTCAAGCTTGTTGACCCAAAAAAAGCTATATTGATTTGGTGCTTTTATTTAAAGGTGCAGGAGGAGGTTGTCAGTAACAGACAGAGAAGATGTGGCGGGAGAAGAAGAAGAAGTAAGCCACAAACATGAAAAATGAAACCAACTGCACGACACTGCTGTCCAGCTGCAAGTGAGGTTGTGTCAGAGTGAGAGAGGACGCTATGCAAAAATCTGTACACGTTTGACTCGTCAGTCTACATTGCAGCAGTCAAAACCAAAAGTGTTTTGATTGATCAGATCTGTTAGGCATCCTATCGAGCAGCAAATCCCCAGCACGCCTCCTCTAGCAAAATGCAACTCTTGAGCATAAGGAACAATGTGGAAATGGTGGCTACCTCTGTATTGCCATCTAGTGGTGGATTACTGAACAGCTATTAACTTCCCAACATACATAATATCAAAGTGTCCATAAATGAGGGGCTGAAGTAGCCGTTCAATACATATTTTTCACTGAAAAACATTATAATTTCCACTGCTTCTGGTGATTCCTACTGTTCTGCACCATAGTTAGACAGGTTGTGCTTTAGGTCTCATGTATGCATCAGTCTCCAGTCAGCTTTTAGCTACTCCTCCTTGATTTCATCCTTTGCCCCAGTCTGGCCAATCTAACTGCAAAAAAAATGACAACATGGTAGCAACAATGTCTGAAACAAAGTGTCCTTGTGCTGTCATTTTTTTTTTTTTTTTGCATAACTAGCTGTGTGTGTGTATGTATTTAGTATGCAGTATTACACACTGCTGCCCTCCTACACCCCTGCGTATGGGATCCAGAGAGACAAGCTGACCAGTCATAACAGGAGAAAGACACCAGCTACTCACATCACACGATTATACCACCAAGGGAGCGCACAAAGATTGGTTAACACGCCGTCTGTGGACTTCTGATTGAACAGTAAGTTTTATACAGTTTTGCTGGAGCTGTCGAATTCTGTGGTAAATCGCTTAAACCAAAGAAAACAGGTCACGCTGGAGCAGGTTTAATGCTCATACTTTTACTTACTTATTTATGTTTACTGCTCTTAAATCATTTTAACTGTTAGCTAAGATCTATTATTATTTTTATTCCTGTGTTGATTCAAAATCTGTTTCTATAAAGTAAATTTGCTTGAAAATGTTCTACACTTACATATCTAGGTGTTAAACAAGAAAGAGGAGAAGAAGGGGGCCATCTCACCAACTCACAGTCCCTGGACATCTCACTGAAAGTTTGAGAATATACTGGGAGAAGACCTTCATTTACTGAGTGCTCAGCTCTCAACAACCTCCTCGTGAGTAAGACAAGAACAAATCTGGACTCGGGACTTTCTGAGGAACATTTTGTCGATGTTGAGAGCGTTCTAAAGTTTCTTCAGGGATCATGGCATCAACAGGTCTTCAGCTGCTGGGCTTGGTTTTGGCTTTGTTGGGTTGGGTGTTCGGGGCACTGGTGTGCGCGGCCCCTCTGTGGCGTGTGTCTGCCTTCGTAGGAGGAGAGCTAGTGATTGCTCAGGTGATGTGGGAGGGACTGTGGATGAACTGCCTCTCTCAGACCACAGGCCAGATCCAGTGCAAGACCTATGACTCCACCCTGGCCCTGCCAATGTCTGCCCAAGCCGCCCGGGGCCTCACTGTCCTCGCCCTGCTCCTCTGCCTTCTGGCGCTCATGCTCGGGGTGGTGGGGGCCAAGTGTACGCACTGCATGGGTGACGGTAACCAGGCCTCTAAGGCTCGGCTGGCGAGGATAGCAGGGGTGCTCTTCCTTGTGGCCGGCCTTGCCTACTTGATACCCATCTGTTGGACGGCCCATGCAATCATCAGGGACTTCTATGATCCGAATATTGCAGCGCCTCTAAAGAGAGAGCTGGGGCCGGCGTTGTACCTTGGCTGGGGGGCCAGCCTGCTGCTCCTGGTCGGGGGATCTCTGCTGCATGTTGGCTCTTCTCCACCAGGTGGAAGAGTGCTGCCTGTTTTTGGAGGAGCAGCAGCGAAAGACAACCCACACACAGGGGCAGCAGGGGAGGTGAAGCAACAAGAAAAATCTTTTGTATGAGATCATTTTATTGGACTTGTGAGGTACAAACAAACCCAGAGGTCACAACCTGGTCAGACAAGCTTCTGGAAACTGCAAGATCACAATCTATAAGAAAATAATCGGCTTATATTTAGTTTTTAATGAGTTGTCTTATAAGGCTGAGTTCATTACACTTACATGATTAACTACATAGCAATGGGGCTCTAACACAATTTACATTATTTAAGGGCTGTGTGTCAGAGTGGGAGTTAAAATGATTTGTGGGAGGATATTAGATGTTTAGATGTTTATTAATGTGTGTGACTTACATTTCTCAAATACCACTCTGCCTCTGCTTATGTGTGTGTGTGTGTGTGTGTGTGTGTGTGTGTGTGTGTGTGTGTGCGTGTGTGCGTGTGTGCGTGTGTGTGCGTGTGTGTGCGTGTGTGTGTGTGTGTGTGCGTGTGTGTGTGTGTGTGTGTGTGGGCGGTCTGTGTACAGAGGGCCAGTGTACATAGTACTTCTGTGTATGCTGGTGTTTTCATTGCAAATATGTGGGCAGTCAGTGATGCTTGTTTATTTACTTTTAATGCACTTTTTTTTGTATTTTTGGATCCTAGGCAAATTTACTCTTCGTATTTAATTCTCAATTTTTGTTTATTTCTTTATTTTTGTTTACACATAGTTTTTTTTTGTTTGTTTTTTTTAATTGTGGTTCTGCAATTTGCACATGTCCAGTGCTCTTTTGTTGATATCACTTTAAACACTGTCTTTTAGAGCTTTTTTGTTTTAATGTCATATGAGAAATTAATCTAAAAATATTTATGGTAATTTATTTTTACTTATTATGTTTTCCAGTGGTAACAATTTTGTTAATTTAGTGTAACAAAAAATTTGTGACTGATCTGAACAAAACTGTTTTGGTTTGTTACCTGAGGATAGCTCTGAGTGAAGGTAATACACGTATATCAATGAATGCAGTAGTTTAAATTATATTTTCAACATTATTTAGGTATTCACTGGGTTACATGAAAAAATCTTTTGCTACCTAACAGTTGACTTAATAATATTATACAGTAAACATTATCAACTACATGTACAGAAGTGTGACATTGCATTTAACACCTTTACTTTTTTGTTAATGACAGTCTTTTGATGTATAATCACTTACGCACAATAAATATAAGCATTTGCTTTCCCCAACAACTGGTTGTCTTTTAAACATTCCTATGATAGAATGGAGTGTGTGCATGCAGAATACACAATATCCGGGTTGCAAACGCACACTGTATCCCCCGTAATGTTTTCAAATACTGTGAAAAACTGGAGTATTCCCCTCTTTCTGATGACCTTATACTTGCTAGACCTTACACCAGAGTTTATACTCATTAATCCCAGTGTGCTGGAATGTTCTTAGTAGCTGAACTCACTCCAAAGAAAAGACACAACAACATAAGGACAGACCCAGTATGTCATCACACAGACTCAACTGATTTACTTTTGGTCAAGGTCATCATAGATATTGTAACCAATTTTATACGATCAATCAAACCATTTTGAATCTAAAATAGCAAATTTAAGATTATTCTGAATCAAGATTTAGTTTCATCCACATATCTGGTTCATATTGTTCCTGTTCACTCTTTTCTCTACTTAGACTCTTCATATAATATCCACCACAGACGTGTTTGTTACCAGACCTGTCTTTCACTTTGCTCCAGTCTTTTTTTGTGCAGTTACAAATGTGATTGGCAGAAAAAGGAAAAAAGAGATGTTACTATCTCAGAGGAATGAGTAAAAAACACAACATGTACGGTGATTCACATGTCACGTGTAGGAGCAGGACTACTGGAAACTTATTTCCGCAGACAACGAATTGATCCCACTTAGAGCCCATACCACTGTGTGTAGTGACGGCAGACATAGTACACTTGGGGGCAGTAGACACTAAGTAACTCTAACTCTAAAGAAAGGAACTGTCACTTACTAAATCAAATCATAACACCCACTTCAACTCTGACTATTTATACATGCAGGGAGGGGACAAGATCATGCAAACACTGGGTTAAAGTGCTTTATATTTGAACACTGAGACCAGTGAGGCTGTTATCAGTTTGAGTGCCAGTTAGCAGCTTTTTCTTCAACTCCTTACATTTGATGTTGTGACTGTAGTTTTTCTTTTTGCTCGAGTATGTTGCTGTATTCTCATCAAAAAACTAAAGCATTTTTCTTTTCTTCGTCTGCACTTTGGGCCTGGCTGACTTGACCCCTCATTTGGCCCCCTGTGAGTTGCCTCATGTTACTTCCAAAACACATCTGGTTGTGTTGATCAGCCCTCTTCTACAGCTGTCCTACCAATGCAGCATGTTTGCAAAAGAGACTTAGGCAAAGACATAATTGCTTTGGTTTCCGTGTTGTAAATCCTCTTTAATTCTCAAACATGCCAGTACATGTCTATGTGGTTGCTTGAACTGCTATAATTTGTGGTGCCAAAAGCCAGCCAAAAAAAGGAACAGATATCTGACAGTGACTCCATTTAGTCTTGCCTGCATGCTGCCCTGCTAACTCTGCACAACACAGAAGAACAGACTCAGAGCTGTTTTAAAGGGCATAGGGCAAGAGGGTGGAAGACCTGCTGTTCTCTGGACTGTGCCAAAAGTTCCTCTTTGTTGGACCGGAACAAGGAACAAGTCTGTAACTTTCCTGATTAAGGTATTTCTAATTTAAAAACTGTATGTTAATTTTCAGTTGCACTTGTCTCTTTTAGTGAGACAACATATTTATTACCTAACAACCTCAAGTACAATCTAAACTACACTATTTAATGAGTAAACATTGAAATGTACACACAACAGGGTACATCTCATTTAACTTGACAGAATATGTGATTTAACTTAAATAGCATCCGATTCCTCAGACACAAATTGTCACATCCACTGCATTCATGGGAGACAGTCCTGGCTGTTTACTATTGTAAAGTTTAGGAAAGCACGGGGCATTCTGGTGTTTAGGTGTCAGCCCAACTGGGCCAGCTGTCTTCTGCATCCTCTCATTTCTTGTCATCTCTCTCTGCTAAAAAATTACAAATCAGCAAAAGTGACTTCCTTTGAGAAAAACAAATAGGCCTAGTTAAAATAGTGTCTAACTGGCTAAATCTAACCCTAACCCACCAGGCAACAGCATGAAAACACACTGGATAATCAACACAGATGTAATGAGATGATTTACGCTTTAGTTTCAGACACCATGTTTCATTTTTAAAAGAGAAAAAGCCACAAGTATGAAGATATAAACTACATATGCTAAAGAACTGATCTTGGATTTACTTACCCACATAGTGACTACATCTAGCATGCCACAGATATTAAGAATTACTGACAAAATTGAAGTATTAGCCACTTAAAAATGTGAGGCACCCAACTGTCTTCATGACAGAATTTGACAAATGGTATTTACATGACAACCATAAGCACTAACTTAACAAAAAGTTAGCTTGTTTTGCAAATGTCCCTTTATGCTGGAGTTTCAACTTTGCTCTGCCCCACTGATGACGCCAGACTAATGAGATTTTCTTCCAGTGATTTTGCACCAGTGGTGGGCAAACAGCAGCCCATGGGATAAATCTGACCCTCCAATTAAAGGTTTTGGCCCACCTACAAGCTGAGGTCTTCACTCTCAAAGTTTGCATCAATACTTTTTTTAATGTAAGATTTATGTAAACAGGCTTACGTAAATCTTGATTAACATCAACCCTCATAACAACAATTATAAAGATTTGCATCACAAACAGGAATAGTTTCTACCCTGATAGACATCAGTCATAAACTGAAGTTAAGTGAGTGTGGATAGCCCATCAATTTAAGTCTCATAGTGAAACACTTTACTGTGGGTGTTGTAACTCTGCAATGGGTAAAATGACATCTGCCCTGCAGATACAGCTATACAATACAATACAATCAGTTTTATAAGTCTGGTTTATTCTTAAAATATATAAAAATATTACATGGAAAAAACACCTGTAAAACTATACTGAACAAAATGGCCCATGGTCAAATCTAATTGTTCACCTCTATAGGCTATTTATCAATAGCAGTAATTACTCTATTTTATTTAAATCAATAATCTGTAATGAGTGTGTAGGCTTCTTTGTCTTTGTCTTATGTATGTAAAATCCCTTCTTTTTTTAAATCCTAAATGACATAGTAGTTTAAAAACAAAGACTCAGGGTCACACTGCTTGACGCTGCTGCCAATGGGTAACAAGACCCACAAGGCACGCACTCTGCCACGCTGACTGCGTGTAGGCTTCTCCAGTCGTTGTTGAAACTCACCACACTCTAACAACCAACAGTGCGCGCGCGCGCGTGTGAGTCCTGTATTAAGGGGGACATGTAGACACTTGTTACAAGCAATTTTGCAAAAACGTTTTTTTCATGGTGAACTAAAGTTTCTCTCTCTGCTAGCTTTAGAGGAGAACTGTCCTCTTAAAGAGACAGGGGGATATCTGGCATTATTACAGCTGCAGGGAGGATGCGTATCACTTTAAAAACCGCATGACAGTTGGTAGTGGTGGTGGTGAAAGTGGGGTATGTGTGTGTGCTGTTCGGCTTTAGCATTTTCATACCCTGCTGTCGACCTTTGAATCTCGGGCCCCGGGGCGGGTAGGCAGCTCCGCCGTCCACGGTGGCAATTGGCTGCGTTTTTCTCTTCTGTCTACAGCTGCAGGTCGTGGCCCAAACACAGCAGACAGTGCACACATACACGAACACACGGTGCTTCACGTGCAAACACGCACATTTTGTGGCGTGAGTGTGCGCGATGCTGCTAGAGCCCAAAGTCCTCTGGTCCCTGGTGCTGACTCTTATCGGAATGTTTGAAGATTAACGAGGTTATCCGTGTCCTGTAGACCACAAGCCACTGCCAGCTGTACCCCTGCAGGCAGGCCAGGAAGCCGACAGAGCAGGCGGACAGCGTGTCGAGGCGGGCTGGAAGGAAGGAAGTCACCGCTGTAGCTGCATTGGACGACGGCAGAGGACGGCA